TTCTGGAACTGGGGAGCCCAGAACTGGTCCCAGTGCTCCAGCTGGGGCCTCCCCAGGGCAGAGCAGAGGGGCAGGATGACCTCCCTCCAGGTTCTCCATGCTCTTCTTGATGCCCCCCAGGAGTCCATTGGCCTCCTTGGCCACCAGGGCCCATTGCTGGCTCCTGGGCATCCAGTTGCCCCCCAAGACCCCCAGGTCTTTCTCCCCAGAGCTGCTCTCCAGCAGGTCCCCCCCCGATGTTGCTGGCTCATGGGCATCCTGGTGTCCACCAGGACCCCCAGGTCTTTCTCCCCAGAGCTGCTCTCCAGCAGGTCCCCCCCAGCCTGTCCTGGTCCAGGGGGTTATTCCTCCCCCGGGGCAGGACCCTGCATTTGCCCTGGTTGAACATCATGAGGTTCCTCTCCCCCAACTCTCCAGCCTGTCCAACACAGTCGTCCCCAATCTCTTGGTTGACCTCCCTCCAGGTTCTCCACGCTCTTCCTGATGCCCCCCAAGATGCCATTGGCTTCCTTGGCCCACCAAGGCCTGTTGGTGGGCTCCTGGGCATCCTGGTGTCCCCCCAACCCAATGCTGACCCCCAATTTGTGTTGTGTGTGTCCTGATGCCCCCCAAGATGCCATCGACCTCCTTGGCCACCAGGGCCCATTGCTGGCTCCTGGGCATCCAGTTGCCCCCCAACCTGTCCTGGTCCAGGGGGTTATTCCTCCCCCGGGGCAGGACCCTGCACTTGCCCTGGTTGAACATCATGAGGTTCCTCTCCCCCAACTCTCCAGCCTGTCCAACGCAGTCGTCCCCAATCTCTTGGTTGACCTCCCTCCAGGTTCTCCACGCTCTTCCTGATGCCCCCCAAGATGCCATTGGCTTCCTTGGCCCACCAAGGCCTGTTGGTGGGCTCCTGGGCATCCTGGTGTCCCCCCAACCCAATGCTGACCCCCAATTTGTCTTGTGTGTGTCCTGATGCCCCCCAAGATGCCATCGACCTCCTTGGCCACCAGGGCCCATTGCTGGCTCCTGGGCATCCTGGTGTCCACCAGGACTCCATTGACCTCCTTGGCCCACCAGGGCACGTTGGTGGGCTCCTGGGCATCCTGGTGTCCCCCCAACCCAATGCTGACCCCCAATTTGTCTTGTGTGTGTCCTGATGCCCCCCAAGATGCCATCGACCTCCTTGGCCACCAGGGCCCATTGCTGGCTCCTGGGCATCCTGGTGTCCACCAGGACTCCATTGACCTCCTTGGCCCACCAGGGCACGTTGGTGGGCTCCTGGGCATCCTGGTGTCCCCCCAACCCAATGCTGACCCCCAATTTGTCTTGTGTGTGTCCTGATGCCCCCCAAGATGCCATCGACCTCCTTGGCCACCAGGGCCCATTGCTGGCTCCTGGGCATCCTGGTGTCCACCAGGACTCCATTGACCTCCTTGGCCCACCAGGGCACGTTGGTGGGCTCCTGGGCATCCTGGTGTCCCCCCAACCCAATGCTGACCCCCAATTTGTCTTGTGTGTGTCCTGATGCCCCCCAAGATGCCATCGACCTCCTTGGCCACCAGGGCCCATTGCTGGCTCCTGGGCATCCTGGTGTCCACCAGGACTCCATTGACCTCCTTGGCCACTAGGGCCTGTTGGTGGGCTCCTGGGCATCCTGGTGTCCCCCCAACCCAATGCTGACCCCCAATTTGTC